GTATGTAGATCCTCTAATAGGCTTACTTAATCTAATAAATTAATCTAATAGTAAGCTCATAGTGATCTTTTAAGCATAATATTGGGTTGGTGAATTGAAAACTGCGGGCTATTGTCATAAGTCACAGTTTGGGCACTTTCTTCAAAAGAAACCCATTTTGGTGTCAATAGAAAAGTTGTAGAGAATCAAAAATAAAGCTTATATCCAAATTTTCAGAACGATTCAAAAACTGGTTTTCAAGAAATGCCAAATTTACGAATTTTCACAAAACTTGCATTTTAAGCGAAACTACTAAGTGGATCTTTTTGGAAATTTGGATATAAGCCTAATTTTTGATTCTCTACAACTTTTCCATTGACACCAAAATGGGTTTCTTTTGAAGAAAGTGCTCAAACTGGGACATCTCCAGTCCTCGATTTTTGAGTCTCACACTTGTCTCACACACAAACCAAAATCCAACGCAGAAAGAGGAATCCGCAAATTGCCTGCAAAATGGGCAGAAGTCGTCAATAATAATATAATATTTGTCTATAATCTATCTATCTTTTCTTACATTTCTTACAATAAATAGCCTTGTTTGGGAACTTTTGGCGCATTCCCCAAACAGCCCGAACCTCTCCCCTTTTGATTACTATTTATCCCGGATGATGAGTAATGAGCTTGCGGGAGAACACTTCGATTCGGAAGAAGCAGTCAAAAATTGGCTTTGAAAGTTTTTCGATTCAAAACCAAAATCCTACTACGAAAGAGGAATCCGCAAATTGCCTGTAAAATGGGCAGAAGTCGTCAATAATAATGGAAATTATTTGGAATGAATTCATGGTTTTATGTTGAATGAATTTCAGTTCAAAGTCCGGCAGTTTTCAATTCACCAACCCAATAGTTCAAAGTAAAGCTGCTACGGAAAAGCTGCACCGAAATTTACTATAATAGGTTCGAATTAGGTTACTGTATATGCTAAGAAGTAGTTCTAACAAGAGTTTATGCTTTGTTTTCATAAGTTTTTTACCTATACTTTGAATAGAAATTTTTAATTTATCTATCAATATCCTTTTAGCTTTTTGTTCTTGTTCTTTTTGTTCTTTCTTTTGTTCTTCTTTCAAGACTCTCAGTCTTTTTGTACTTTATTGTACAAATTTCAAAATAACCAACCACTTTTATCTGTTTTCTGTATTTGATTTTGACGAAAGATTGAACTTCAGATTGAACGATAACTATTATAGTTTTTTTGAGTTCATAGTAACAGCCAAACAAAACAACGTGCATTTCTAGAAACGTAAAATTATCTATTCTTGGCTTTCAAATGAATAAAAAGAAAGCTTGTGTGTTTTGTGTGAGAATTGAAAAGAAAAAACTTTTTCAATCTTATAAACAACGCCAAAAACCTTCTTGTCAACCCGATTGACGATGAAAATCTCGAATCGACTTGAAATTGTTGCATTGGACTGCTTTGGGAAAATTAAAAAACGAGATTTTGAAAGTTTGATGCCTATAATTGATCGATTAGACAGATCACTGCGAAAAAAGTTCTCAATCAAAAACACTTTTTAAATTCAGGAAATGGTGCTCGTTCTTGTTGATGTGATTGCTGTTGACGTGATTGTTGTTGCTGTGATTGCTGTTGTGCGATGACTCCTTGGCTTTGGTTTTGGTCGTTTGCATAGGGCAAGATGATCTCCTCTTTTGCATGACCTCATTGCGACAAGCTCTACGAAAATTTCTCAAAGCCGGAACTGAAGCCGATAATTTCAGAACAGATTTTTATGGTTGCCTCAAATTTTTGGGGAACGGCCGCGACGCGACCGCCGTCACCGAAACGCTTTTTGAAAGAATTTCCTAGGCTAAGCGCCAAAACACCTACACATATCTTTGCTTCTTCAAATCATTGACAACTCTATTAAACTTATTACTAAACTTCGCTAAATTATGAAGGCAAAACTCGAATTCAAATCTCTTCCCAATGAACTTAAAAATTTGGTTGTTAATCAAGTGGATAATTCGAGTTGTGAGAAGCTTTTGAAAGTGAATCGAGATACCAGAAATCGATGTCTCGAACTTGCCCCTTTTCTCCAAAAAATCGACGAGATTTCTATGATGCTGTTTTGCTGGAAATCGGTAAACGAAGAAATACTGTGCAACACATTGAGGATCGAGATTTACAAAGATAAGGATGACATGGGATTAGAGTTCAACAATCAATCCGGTCAAGTTCGCCGATACACTCTGGGAGCGGTGATCGGAAACGAGAATCAGAAACTCTTTCAACAGATCAAAGCCAGCAAAAAAGTGTTCATTCAAATGAATAGCAGCTTTCACGAGGACGACGTGGAATTCGATGAGGATGGACCGAGAATCGAGTTCCTAACGTTTTTGCCAAGAAACTGGCACACTTTTGAGTTCACTTTTTGTCCTCAGAGATTTGATGTGATTCGGCAAGTATTTGAGCACACAAAGCCCACGATTGAGTGTAGATTAGCGCTAAACACTGGACAGGATTTAGGATCGCTGGCAGACGAGGAAAGAGAGTACCTAAAATCTCTGATGTCACACCGATTCCCAAACACGATCTCTTTTTATTCAGGGTATCCGCTGAAAGAAATGCACGAGATTTTGAAACTCACCAATGTGCAACTCTACGAAACTTTTGAGGAACGGTGGGAGAATTTGGAGAAAACTGTCAGATTCATTTTGAATAAAGGTTTGCCAAGTCGAAACGAGAAAATGATACTCACAGTCAATCACTTGATTTTTCATCCAAATCGAGAAACGGCCCAGCAAAAGTTTGATAAACTTTTTGCTTTGTTGCAAGACAAGAACTTCAGCTGTACGTTGATTGAAGACAAAGATGAAGAAACAGAGCTGTTAAATGTTTTTGAAAAAAGAGAGGAAAATCTTTTTGGGAAGAGGATCTATTTGAATGGACCTTTATCTGCACTTGGAGCTTTTGTGAGGCAAAGACTTTTTCGGCGAAGAATTTCCCCAGAAATGGACTGTGTTTACATGGCGGCCATCCAAGAGAACCACGATTTTGGTGAAGTTTTGCATGTTGTGTTTGGGGCAAAAATGGAGAGAATCTTTCCCCCTTTGAGCCAATAGTTTTTGTGATAAATTGTGATGAATAAATTATTACACTAAGACAATCAAGACAATCATCAACAATCAAGCTCGCACTCCTTATCGTAATTCACCACCTAAAAAGAAAAAAATTATTACACTAAGACGAAAAGATTGGACAAAACTGATTTTTTAGATGAACTTTATGGAAAAAATCTAACAAACCAACAGCAAGGTACCCGTTTTTGGTCCACAGTTAGCTGTGGCTGGCGACAGATTGAAATCAACGGTCGTTCATCGATCCACGAAAGAACACCTTTCGTCTGCAAATCGGGGTCATGTTTTGTTTCAAAAATTACACACATTTTTCCCACCAGCGAGAAACATTCCACTAGCCGTAATTCGAGAAAATGTTGCACTAACTTTCACAGGAAAGACCTCAACTTAAAGGTGAACAGAAAAACACTAGCCTAACTTAAGATGTCATTCTTGTATTGACCGTGATTGGAGGCAAGGTGAGCGCCAAGAGATTGACAATAGGTTTCGGCCTCGGAAACGACGAGCTCGTAGACAACTTCAAACGAGCAATTTTTCGGTCGGCCTGGCCCTAAAAAAGTTGACTCAAAACGGTCTAATATTTGTAACCAAAGCCAGAAGATCAGTTTTTAAAAAAACTTATTAAAACTGTTTATTGAATCTCGCACGATTTTAAAACGATAAATTTTTCGAGCTCAAACCCAAGATTAATCTAAAAGTCAAAAAAAGAAAATAAAAACAAAAAGAGGACACAAAAAATGAAAGACATTTTAAAAGGTTTTTGATTTTTTGAACAGTATTTAATGGTTGATTACGCTCAAAAAATATTTCGCTTAATTTTTGACTAGTTTAAGAGGTATCGGATTGGGAAAAAGTGTATGAAAACAAAGAAATTTTTTGGATTTTCTGAAAAAAGTAGTGAAGTTCAAAGAATTTAAAGGTCCAAATATACCATCAAAATCTGAAAAATGAAATTTGTTTAGAATTTCTGAGTCATAAGCTATTGAACAAGCTATTAAAAACAGACAAAAAAAATCGAATTCTACATTAATGGCTTCAAAGTGGGAGGTGCCTCGTCGAGTCAACGGTTCACGGTCGCCTTGCAGAATATCGATACATCGAGTGACACGAAAGAGGCTCTGGTTTTTCAGGTTGGTTCAAATGCTGTGAGAAGACGGTGAACAGAGGTGCCTCAATGTTTTCTAAAAAACCCAGCCAAAAAATGAAAGACATTGTAAAAGGTTTTTGATTTTTTGAACAGTATTTAATGGTTGATTACGCTCAAACAATATTTCGCTTAATTTTTGACTAGATTAAGAGGTATCGGATTGGGAAAAAGTGTATGACAACCAAGAAATTTTTTTGGGTTTTCTGAAAAAAGTAGTGAAGTTCAAAGAATTTAAAGGTCAAAATATACAAAATTGAAAAAAGAAATTTGTGTAGAATTTCTGAGTCATAAGCTATTAAAAAAAGCTATTAAAAACAGACACATTCATTTACGATTCCAAAGATGATAAGCTTCTTAAAGAAAAGATGGTAAGCGTCGTTTTTCACACAGAAAACTTTTGATCTTCAAAAACCTTAAATTTTTATAAGCTTTATAGCTTTTATAAGCTTTTGATTTCCGTTTTAATCTCTAGTTTTATTATAGTTCGTGCTCTTTTTGTTTAGTGTTCAATATTGGATTTGGGTGACTAATAGTAAAGGAATAGCTGGATCAGCTGGGTTGGACTTTAAACCGAATTACTCTATGTGAACATGAGGTCAAGCCAACCTACTCTATTCCAACTCAAATCTAATTCCACCTTGGTTTTCTCAGCCCTTTCTTGCCTAATTGTTCTGGAAAAGGAGATTTGTTTAGAATTTCTGAGTCATAACGAAGAAGCTCTTAAAAACTAGAATTGGCTTTTACTTTAAAAACTTTTAATAGAACAAATAGAAATTGGCACTTGGTAGACAAAATTTCAGAGTAATCGGCTACGACTGAGAAAACGAAGGTGGAATTAGGTTCGGCTTGGAATTTTCCCATTTCCCTCTACAAATTTCTAAATTTCATTTCAATTACCATTTTTGTCACTTGATTTACAAGTGATTTCATTTCAGGAACACCATGGGGAACTATCAAACCTACAAAACGAAAAGCCATCTTCCCCCCTCTTCACCAATCAATCCACCAAACCAAGAATACAAGGAATTTCGCGAGTACATCAAGGAAAATCGACAAGGGAAGTTGATGCTCGATTTCTCGACAAAAATTGTCTATGATGTCTATTTGAGGAACCGATCAACCAGGCTCAAATGGTCCAAGCGATTCAGCGTCAAATTCAAATTTCACGAACAGGTAAACCCATGAAAATTGAGATTTGCTAAATAAGATTTTAGGACATGATGAGTGAAATATCGAAAGCTTTTGTCAAAAAGTATAATGGCGTTTGGACGTGTTTAGCAGGTTTGACAAGTTTTGCAAGCTTTTGCAAGTTTTGAAAGCTTTGTGCTAATGCTTTTAGAACCTAAACTTTCAAATATTTGTTTAAAAATGTAAGCTTTCATTTTCTCTTTAGGTCCTAATATTGTTTACGGGACGTATCCGAGACCGAAAAACTTCATTCAATTCGACATTAAAGAGGACTTTGGATGCTTTTGCCGAATAATAATCTTTCAAAATGGTCAAGAAGTTCCGAAATTGTGAGAAAGCTTTCCATAAACGGTTTATTTTCATCGTCAAAGCCAATAAAGACATTTTTAAAAAACTTCTCAGGCAAGTAGACAATTAAAAAATCAAATGTTGAAAAAAAAAGTATCATTTTTTGAAGATATAGAGATAAAGATAGAGATTAGAAAAATTTCAAACAAAGATGTTAGATGTTAGATGTAAATCTAACAATTGGTTTTCTCTTTTCTCGAAATCCACACAAAGTTCACATCGTTTTTTGATGGTCAAACAAATCGGCAAAACAAAATCATGATTTGGTTGTAAACTTTTTGCAAGAAAAACTTCTCGAGTTGCATAGAAGGTGCTTTTCTTTAGAAATAGCCGATTCGGGGTACCGTTTCGAGATCACCGTTTCAAGGTTATACTCTTGTGAACTGTGAACTTAGGAAATTTTAGGAAAGTCGATGAAAAGCAAGGATTTGAAAGAAGAATGGAAAGTAAAAATGAATGGAAAACAAGGGATGGATTTTTTTTCTGTAATTATTTGTTTATAAATTAGCAAGTGGTGAACTCCTCAAATGAGAGGTGTATTTCGGTAAATCGTTTTGGACTTTGAGATTTCCATTTGTCAATTCTTCTTGCCTTTTATTGAGGTTACTGTATATGCTAAGAAGTAGTTCTAGCAAGAGTTTATGCTTTATTTTTCAGAAATTCTTTACCTATATTAGCAAATTTTTGATTTATCTATCAATATCTTTTTGGCTTTTTGTTCTTATGTTCCAAGACTCTCAGTCTTTTGTACTTTATTGTACAAATTTCGTTTAACCAACCACTTTTATCTGTTTTCTGTATTCGATTTTGACGAAATGGACTACTTGCACGATTTCAAATAACGAGAGCGAAATGTGGAAGGATTCAGATTGAACGATAGCATGTTCACAAACAAAATCTAATGCAACAATGAACAATGACTAGAAAAGACGAAATGAACCTATATATAACCATATTCGGAAAGAAAAGATATCCAGGCAACACAAGAATTAAGAATTTTTACTTTTTCCTACTTTTCACCTTACTTTGAACTACCTCGAACAAAAGAAGAAGCTTCTTTTGTTCGAGTCGTCGACACTCGCCTGAGCAACAGTTGGATTTGTAGACGCGTGTGTCGGATGGCGGTTTGCCCTCGGGTTCGGCTGAGAAGCATGTGGTGGCTGAGCAGGGAATGGTGCTCGTTGCTGTTGTTGTGATTGCCGTTGATGTGATTGCTGTTGATGTGATTGCTGTTGTGCGATGACTCCTTGGCTTTGGTTTTTGTCGTTTGCATAGGGCAAGATGATCTCCTCTTTTGCATGACTTCATTGCGACAAGCTCTACGAAAATTTCTCAAAGCCGGAACTGAAGCCGATAAGTTCAGAATAGATTTTTTATGGTTGCCTCAAATTTTTTGGGAACGCCCGCGACGCGACCGCGGTCACCGAAACGCTTTTCGAAAGAATTTTTCGAAGAATTTCGAAAGAAAATAAGAAAAAGCGCCAAAACACCTACACATATCTTTTCTTCTGCAAATCATTGACAACTCTATTAAATTTATTACTAAACTTCGCTAAATTATGAAGGCAAAACTCGAATTCAAATCTCTTCCCAATGAACTAAAAAATTTGGTTGTTAATCAAGTGGATAATTCGAGTTGTGAGAAGCTTTTGAAAGTGAATCGAGATACCAGAAATCGATGTCTCGAACTTGCCCCTTTTCTCCAAAAAATCGACAAGATTTGTATGATGGTGTTTTTCTGGAAATCGGTAAACGAAGAAATACTTTGCAACCAATTGAGCATCGAGATTCGCAAAGATACGGAGCCACCCGAGAGGGATTCATTACATTTCCACAATGAAACCCGTAAATCTTGCCAAGCCGTGATCGGAAACGAAAATCAGAAACTCTTTCAAAAGATCAAAGCCAGCAAAACAGTGACCATTGTAATTTTACGTTTCACGGACGAATTCGATGAGGACGGACCGAGAATCGAGTTCCTAAAGTTTTTGCCAAGAAACTGGCACACCTCTGAGTTCACTCTTTTACCTGAGAAATTTGATGTGGTTCGGCAAGTATTTGAGCACACAAAGCCCACGATTGAGTATAAATTAGGACTAGACAATGAAGAGGATTTGAGACCACTGGAAGACGAGGAAAGAGAGTACCTAAAATCTTTGATGTCACACCGATTCCCAAACACGATCTCTTTTTATTCAGGGTATCCACTGAAAGAAATGCACGAGATTTTGAAACTCACCAATGTGCAACTCTACGAAACTTGTGAGGAACGGTGGGAGAATTTGGAGAAAACTGTCAGATTGATTTTGAATAAAGGATTGCCAAGTCGAAACGAGGAAATGATACTTATAGTCACTCACTTGATTGCTGATAGACATCTAGTAACTTATGAGGAACGGTGGGAAAATGTGAAACAACGATCTGATGAACTTTTTGCTTTGTTGCAAGACAAGAACTTCAACTGTACGTTGATTGAAGACAAAGATGAAGAAACAGAGCTGTTAAATGTTTTTGAAAAAAGAGAGGAAAATCTTTTTGGGAAGAGGATCTATTTGCATGGATCTTTCAATCCGCTTGGAGCTTCTGTAAGGCAAAGATTTTTTCGGCGAAGAATTTCCCCAGAAATGAACTGTATTTACATGGCGGCCATCCAAGAGAATCACTGGCTTGGTAGAAGAGAGGTTGTGTTTAGGGCAAAAATGGAGAGAATCTTTCCCCCTTTGAGTCAATAGTTTTGTGATAAACTGTTATTTTGTCTATTCAAATGTTCTATTAAAAGAAACGATACTCAGTTATTCTCTGGTTTCATTATGAAAACTATAAGGAATGATTCTTCTTTGATAGTTTCTTTGATTGGTCGATCGATGGGATGAGAAAAGCCCTATCTAACTTCAAATCATAGCTGTTCTTTGCGTTTTTGGCTTTTTTATAAATAAACTTTTTATAAATAAACTGTTTAATGAAACAATCACAATTTATTATTTTTTACATGCCGAATACAGAGCGATATCCGATCCGTCAAGAACGATGAGCCAGGCTCTCTTTCCTACTAGAGTGCGTTCCTCGCGAGTAAGTAATTACTCGAGTAAATTTGCATGAGTAAATTCTTTACTCGAGGTATTACTCGAGTAATTATCGAGTAATGCGTTTTTTAAAAAATGCGCCTGTGCGAAAAAAATATAAAAGCAATTTTTCCAGGTTTTTCAAAAAACCTATTTTACATTGGAAGGGAGTTTCCCACCAAAACGGTTAAACGGCTGAGTATCTTTAAAAAGTCCCGTATATAATGAGGGGCTCGTCATTTTTGCTAAAAGTACGGTAATTTTTTCCCAAGTGTGCGTTTTAAAAAACGCGAGGAACACACTCTATTTCCTACTTTTCCATAAACAATCAAGCTCACACTCCTTATCGTAATTCACCACCTGAAAAGAAAAAAATTATTACACTAAGACGGAAAGATTGGACAAAACTGATTTCTTAGATGGACTTTATGGAAAAAGTCTAACAAACCAACAGCAAGTTACCCGTTGTTGGTCCACAGTTAGCTGTGGCTGGCGACAGATTGAAATCAACGGTCGTCCATCGATCCACGAAAGAACACCATTTGTCTGCAAATAGCTGGGGGTCTGTTTTGCTGCAAAAATTACGCATTTTTCCTACCAGCGAGAAACATTACAGTAGCCGTAATTCGAGAAAATGTTTCACTAACTTTCACAGCAAAGACCTCAACTTAAAGGTGAACAGAAAAACATTAGCTTAACTTAGGATATCATTCTTGTATTGAGTGTCCTCTTTTTGTTTTTATTTTCTTTTTTGACTTTTAGATTAATCTTGGGTTGGAGCTCGAAAAATTTATCGTTTTAAAATCGTGAGAGATTCGTTAAACAGTTTTAATATGTTTTTTTTTTAAAAAACTGATCTTCTGGCTTTAGTTACAATTATTAGACCGTTTTGAGTCAACTTTTTTAGGGCCGGGCGGACCGAAAAATTGCTTGAGGTTGTCTACGATCTCATCGTTTCCGAAGCCGAAACCTATTGTCAATCTCTCGGCGCCCACCTTGCCTCCATTCAAAATCAATACAAGAATGACATCTTAAGTTAGGCTAGTGTTTTTCTGTTCACGTTTAAGTTGAAAGTTAGTGCAAAATTTTCTCGAATTACGGCTACTGGACTGTTTCTCGCTGGTGGGAAAAATGTATACAGGGTGCGCCAAAATTATGGTAACGCTCCCGAATTATCTAATTTTTCACTTTTTTTCATGTTTTTGTCTTTTTTTTCTGCAATATTTCATTCTACAACTATTTTTCAGGTATGAAATCGAAAAAGGATCTGCGCCCGGCTATCATTCGTCTACATCAGCAAGGAAAACGAATTGCTGAAATTTCGACACTTTTGCAAGAGAAGAAAGAGAATGTTTTCCGAGCTATAAAACAACAAATAATGGTTTGGGCAGGAGTTACGTACAGCGGAAAAACACCATTAATTTTCATTCCGGCTGGGATAACAGTCGACAAAAAGATGTACTTGGAGATGCTCAAGGATGAAATTTTACCCTGGTCTCGGGCTCATTTTGTAACTAAAAGCTGGACATTTATGCAAGATGGAGCTCCTAAAGCTGCCGAAACACAAGACTGGATAGCCAACAACTTTCCTGATTGGATCACAATGGGTATCAGATCACAGTGGGCGCCCAGGAGAATGGCCTTCAAATTCTCCAGATTTGAACGTTTTGGACTATTCCATTTGGTCGATTTTAGAGAGCAAGCCATGTCCAAAGTCCCACACATCGGTAAACTCTTTGTAACGGGCACTAATTAAGGCTTGGAACGATTTGTCCATCATCCCAGTTCAAAAGGATATCGATGAATTTCCAAAGCGTTTGAACCAATGTATTGCTGCTAATGGTGGTCATTTTGAGCAATAATCGTTGTTTACATAATGTTCTTGTTAAAGTTAATAAAAATTATTGTTTTCTAAAAGTT